AAAATTAATAGTTGTATTTTCAAATTTTGCACGAAATATTTTATAAGACTTTAAGTTATGAACTGCCTAGTGAACTGCACAAAAACACGATTTTTAACTTCGTGCATATCTTCTTATATACGTTTAATGGTTGGGATAGTCATGAAATCACGCAAACTATCCACAATAGATACAAAAAGCTAAAATAAAGGTGCAGTTTTATATAAAGTTACTCGATTCTGAAATCAATTCAGTTGAAGGATATAATTTTGAAGCTAAACCACGATAGTAAAAAGTTACAATGAAATTGGCGGTTTTTGCAATTCTGCTGATTGTTTTCATCGCTGCAGTTAACACTGATAGAGTCGATGGCATCAAGAAGGAAAGCGATAATGATAAGAAAGATCTGAGTTTGAATGGAACTGACGAGGATGATTCTAGTAGCTCAGAAGAGGCCGAAGGCGACAACGACGATGACGACAATGACGACAATGATGATAACGATAAAGACGAAAAAGAAAAATCATCGTATAAATTTGCCAAAAAATACGAAAAAAATTAAATAAATGTTGATCACTTGACTTTTTCTAAGTTAACCGATCAACTGATTGGTATTCCATTTGAATGAATTTTATTCAATTATCCGACAACTAATTCGAAAATTTGTTGGTGAAATAAAAAGGGTTTGAATCATAACAAAACTAACTTCAATTTGCATTTTATGCTATTTTATAACTTTTTTGGTCACTTTCAATTGTCATTCTCGAATTTATTTTTCACGCAATTACAAAATTAAAAGAATAAAGCCTTTTGCATGATCAAAATATGAATTTGTATAAGTTTCAAATATATTTATTAGTTTTTGTGTGTTTTTGGCAATTATTCAAGTAGATTTATGTATCCAAAGCAAAAAATAGGCGTTTAAAAGTATACATATGTATAGCGGATTTCCAGAAATACTGTAACTATAATAATGAATAATAAAATTAGCTTGCTTTTTCACTCGGAATCATAGATGACCAATCAAGTGAAAAACCACTTTTCCACCACAAATTTAACCATATTGTGATTTTAAAATACACTTAAAAACTGTTTATTCAACAGTATCAAGATTCAATTTTATTGGATTTGTACACACAGCTCATAAGCGTAAATACAAAGAATAGATCACAACATGGGCACAGGCGAGCTACTCAATCAATCGATTTTGATTCGGGTGGAATTCATGATTCAAGTACTTAGTCCGCAATAAAAAGTCGTTTAGGGATTTAAGTCAATGAGCACCATCCAGAAATAAAATAATAAAATCGATAAACTAATAAAATAAAAAGGAGCTTTTTCCGCACTGTTTCCAAATTTCTTTCTTTTTCCGAACGAATATTTATTTCCCGAAATTCTAACTTCTGAGAGCAGTAAAGTTTTTTTGACCAATTAATGGAATGATGAATAAGTAATTAAAAATATTGGCTTCAGAAAGAAATTTGATCAAATAAATGACTTAGTGGGTGTGCGAGAATGTAAAACGATTGTATGCTATTTCAATTTAGTAAATTTGTGTGCTTCCTTATTACATATCATTTATGTCACAATCATGATATTATGCTAAAAACTCACTCTTCCCCATTACAAATTTACATATGTGCGGAAGGCATGTACGCATTTTGCAAAGTGCATTTTCATAATTATCAAAGAACTACAGAATCATAAACGAAAGACCAATATAAGATCATCACCATGAACAATAGACAAATTCAAGATCATTAGTCCATATTTGCACTTACCTATTTCATCAATTAACCACAATTCTCTCAGACGGTGCGAAATAGTTTGGTAATAAGAGAAAACACATCTCTCTTTTCTGTGTTTTTCTACCTGAACAGTTGTTGTATTTCCACAAACGGTGCGTTACTGAACTTTGCTCGATTGACACCAAAATAACTCATTAAGAACAACAGCCGATCATTAAAAATCATTAAGAACAACATTCTAAACTATTGTCCTATGCATACATACTCGGACGATATAGAAAGTGTCAAGCTGGGGTTGTGACTTTTGAACTCAAGTCCAATTCTATAAATATGACCGAAAGAATGAATCCTCAGTTTATTTTGAACTTAACAGCCATTGGCATCGTGTCTTTTACATTTTATCACCTTATTTTACATTTTATTTCGAAAAATATTGAAAAAGTAAGAAAAAACCGAACGTTAAAGAACAACCATTCTACAAAAAAAGTAGAATTTGTGAGTGTTATCTCAAATCTGAAAGAAAAAAATCTTCTTTTTGTGCGAAAACTTTTTATCACACTAAAAACATATATAAGAAGAATCGTTGATCATCCCAAAAAATGGCTTGCCACCCCGATTCAATAATGTGCAAAAATCATTTATCACCCAAAGGTTCAACAGACCTGTATTTAAACAATCGAAGTGCGGATGTATTCTTTGTATTTCCATCCGAAGACCTTGAATACAACGGAAATGTCACGACAATCAACGGTGATTCACAGGTCGATCTAAAGAAATCGACAAATTCACTGGTGTGTGATCGCAGGGATTTTAATTTTATGACAAACAGTTTTGGCTTCCGTTACGTCATTCAACGAAGAGTGGATGCAACAATGTTTACGTCGAATCGGATGGTTTCGCTTAACAGTTTTTGCTGCAGTGAAGTATTCGGTCGAAACATCAATGATAATATAGATGATATTATACGCGCAACGTTTAAAATAATTGAAGTGATTTCCGGTAATGTAGTGGACGATGGACGGTACCTTTGCGGCGGCGAAATCATATTGAATACAAAACATGAAACTACCATTGAACTTGAGACGCCAATTATCATTAAACCAAATTATAGATATGCAATTATCGTCGAAATTGATCGTTGCATCAATGATGAATTGTATAATTTACAAATTCACAAGCCAAAAGTAGAATTTGGTGAAGATGTCGCCGTTGATTTTCATATATGCTATCGTCGTGACAAGAGCTCGGGGCGTTTGGTTTTATTTACACCGCAATATGGACTTGTAACACGTATGAATTTTGAGAAAGCCGAGGAACAGTGAGTGGAATCAATTCGGAATTGATGATTTCAAACCGAAAATCACACTCTATACAAACTCATTTTGCCAGTGTACATTTTAAAACGATTTTTCAGACAATAAAAAATTATTATTATATCATCCAAAAATTAATATCATTGTTAATGCATACTTTTTTTAGGTAGGTCGACAATGGAATTTGGATAATTCACGTAGGACGTTTATGTCATTTATAAACAGGTGATTTTTGTTGATAATTACTGTTGATTATGATTATTGATGACACGATTTCATTTTGAAAAAATGCACTAAAGTTTGAATTTCGACGAAAAAAAAATGGTTTTTGTCCAATTTTATTTTTGAAGAATACATTAAGTCCACTAAAAGCATGTAAATTGGGAATAGAAAATAGGTACAGTTGTCTGTGTTGAAAAATAAATAAATATTGGAATAGAAAAAATTGCATATCAAATTAAATCATGTTTTTTATAGATTTTTTGTATTTATGTTTAGAATTATTTTTGTGTCCTCTAAAAATCGGGATAAGCGGTAATTAACGTTCGCTCCTTATTGGGTATAATAAAGTATCCTTTGTAATCCAATTCATTTTGGCTATTTTGTTCTTGATCGTAGTAGTAAATCCAATTATGAAGTCCGGTGACTTCGTTCTTTTTCACAATTTCCTTCATGAAAACATGCTTAAAACCACAACTTGCAAACATCACATTCCGTTCGCGTGGAAAAAGTGTAAACCAATTTTTTTTTAAATAATTTCCTCTGATCCTTGATATTAAAAATCATAGAATTTGAAATTAATAAAGATTTCTTATAAAAATAAATAAATAATAACCACCTTCTTTATGGAGAAAATTCATGGCGATTTGCATAACTGGTGTATCTATAATTTTGCTTAGAAAATCATTTTCTTTCAAGAAATCGTTAAGCGTTAACGTTTTATCAATTGAGAAATGAGTTTGATCGTATTTATTGAAAAGTTCCCGAATACTAACAACAGTGGGTATTTCGGACAGCACAGTGTTGTTCACGTACGTAAAGAGTCTAGGTTAAGAGCATAGAATAAATAAATTAAACGGAATTATCTTTCGCTAGATCACAAGTTCCCGAACCAACGACTCGATTTTGGCGACAACTATTCAATTCAGGGACTCATACCTTCTTTACTCATATTTAAATGCAAAAATATCACAAAAAACTCTCTTACGGTTTTGGAGCGGCATCTTCTGTAGAATATTGTTTGTTTTTTCCTTGAAGATTAACAGTGATATCTTCGAAAATATTTGGTGTACTTGCTTCGAAAAGGCGCTCAGAAAGTTTTAAAACTTCCAAATCTTTTTCATCTGTAAGTGAAAGCTCTGGAAATTCAAAATAAAAAAAAATCGATTTCAAAATTTTGATGACGAAAAATGTTGAATTTATGAACAAATGAACTAGCTTGACACTGAGCTATAATTGAACAAGTTAGCGCGAGTTATAATTTTAAGTGAACCATTTTCTCAGCGATGGAAAAACCCAGAATGACAACGATACAATTCAATTGAACAAAAATCGACGAACGAACCCAAAAACAATACAACTGTGCTTGTATGTATGTCAAAAAGAATTATATTTAACAAGAAAATATTATTATTTCTAGCAGATGTTTTCAATTTTTTCTTATAAATTTGTAATATAAACATCGTCATTACTACACTGAAAAATCCTATTATTATTTGACATTGCACTTGTTGTTTATTTAATTAATTAAGGAGTTCTGAATGTAACAAAGTTATCTGTTATTATGATTCTTTTTATTATTGTAAGGAATCCCGTTGATGTGCTTTAGGCAGACATCAAAAAATACTTGTTATTATCCATGGGTTTTTTGTCATTTATTCAAGAAAGCATGCTATTCGTCATCTCAAATTATTTCCAAATTCTTCTTCTTTTTTTATATTTGCTTGTTATAATTCTTTCTGACGTACACACAAGCAAAATTGTATTGTAATTGTTTTTGGGTTCGTTTTTCCATTTATGTTCAATTGAATTGTATCGTTGTCGTTCATTCTGCGTTTTTCTATCGTTGAGAAAATGTCGCACTTAAACTTATTACTCGTGTCAATTTGTTCAATTATAGCTCAGTGTCAAGCCAGTAAGTCAAGTAGTTAAATCTGATCATGAATTAAATAGTTTTTTGTTTTCGAAATTTTGAAATTAATTTTCCAATGTTTTCAGTTCCAGATGAACTTTCTGAGCGCCTTTTCGAAGCAAGTACACCAAATATTTTCGAAGACATCACTGTTAATCTTCAAGGAAGAACCAATCAATATCTCACAGACGATAACGCTCCAAAACCGTAAGAGAGTTTTTTGTGATATTTTTTCATTTAAAAATGAATAAAGATTGTATGAGTCCCTGGATGGAATAGTTATTGTCGTCAAAATCGAGCCGTTGGTTCGGGAACTTGTGTTCTCTTCTAATTGATGACTACCTTAGATCTTTGATCTAGCGAAAGATAATTCCGTTTAATTTATTTATTCAATCTAGACTCTTTACGCACGTCAACAACACCGTGCTGTCCAAAGTTCCCACTATTGTTAGAATTCGGGAACTTTTCAAAAAATACGATCGAACCCAATTCCTAATTGATAGAACGCCCAACGATTTCGTGAAAGAAAATAATTTTCTAAACAAAATTATAGATACACCAGTTATGCAAATCGCCATGAATTTTCTCCATAAAGAAGGTGGTTATTATTTATTTATTTTTATAAGAAATCTTTATTAATTTCAAATTCTATGATTTTTAATATCAGGTATTATTCAATCAATGGACGCCAAGGATCAGAGACAATTATTAAAAACAATTTGGTTTAAAAATTTTCCACGCGAACGGAATGTGATGTTTGCAAGTTGTGGTTTTAAGCATGTTTTCATGAAGGAAATTGTGAAAAAGAACGAAATCACTGGACTTCATAATTGGATTTACTACTACGATCAAGAAAGAGATAGCCAAAATGAATTGGATTACAAAGGATACTTTAAATCAATATCACTCGGAAATGTAAACACAAATTATCTACAAATTATTAATATTAATAAGACTTTTTCATTGAAATAATTTAATTTATTTTCTCTGTAGAAAGCACAAATTCTTAAATATCGTGTTCGTTATAAGGATGTCCCCAAACCAGTTAATACAATGTTTATTGGCACGCTACCCGAATTTGAAATGGCATTGTACACAGTTTGTCATCAATTGAAGAAATTATTTTGCGATGTTTCACTGGCCGGACAGAAATTTAGGATCACTATTCTTAGACACTATAAGGAACAAACGATTATTTCCGCTTTTCCAGATTTTTAGAGAACACAAAAATAAATCTAATCATAAATAACAAAAAATTTATAAAAAAAACATGATTTAATTTAATATGCAATTTTTTCTATCAACTACTTTTCAACACAGATCACTGTACCTATTTTATATTGACAATTTACATACTTTTATAAAATACTATAGTAGACTTAAAGTATTTTTAAAAAATAAAATTGGACAAAAACAATTTTTTGTTGTCGAAATTCAAACTTTAGTGCATTTTTCAAAATGAAATCGTGTCATCCCATTGATCTTTAGAGGCTCCATATACAATAATCATAATCAACAGTAATTATTAAAAAAAAAACAGCTGCGTATAAATGACGTAAGCGTTGTACGTCAACTATCCAAATTCCATTGTCGACCTACCAAAAAAAAAAAACGTGATGTATGAATAATGATATACATGTTTGATTCATCAAATGACGATAGCATTGGCTAAGACACACTCTCTAAATAAGCTCTTTTTATATGCAATTTTTAATGATGATAATCTTGACAAATGACATCTATTTTTGTGCAGAATAAAAACTGTAGGTCGCCTTCCATTTTTCGGCCAACTCCACCAATTTCTAACGGCTCCTCTAACTCTTGCAGAATTACTAAAAAATAATGTAAATTGATTTTTAGATTGCAAATCACGTTTTAGTTGAATTTTTTTCAATATGGAATTTTTCTATGTAATTTTTTTAAATTCTCTTCTATTGAGTAAAAATAATCAAATTTTCTAAAAAATTAAAATTTCATTTACAAAAAAAAGAATCGTTGAATATGAATGATTTTAAAAATAAAGAAACATAAAAAGTATACGACCGCGATTATACCGAATTTAATTTTGTCATTAATGACTCAAAAAATATGGAACATATTAATTAATTGTCAATATTTTGTTCACTAAAACAAAAATAAATTTTTGTGAGTCAGAGATTATGAAAATCATTATTCAATTAGAATTATGAAGATCATTAAAAATGGACCGTTCATATAAAAACAAATACTGAAAGTACTTAAATCCCAAACGATACTGACTCCATTAGGCCGGTTTTTCTTTGCTGCAATTCATTAAATAAAACTCTGGAAAATCCACGAATTACAACCAACATATTCCCTCATTTGAAAATTGGTCATACCTAGATTAAAATGAAAAAATAAAAAAAATATTTTGATTAAAAATTGTAATGAGCAATTTGTGTTGTAGCTTCTGAAAAGGTGAAAAAAAAAACATCAACAAATTGAAATATCGAATTTTTAAAAATTACCCTTCCCAGCCCAAGAGTAATACAGAAAAGTTAAAAAAAAATGCCATAAAGTTACATTTTTGCACGTTATTCTTTATTTTGGTTTTGGTTGTGTGTGTATGTGTGTTTTGATTGGATTTGCATATTCAATTTTTCATAATAATTATTTTTCATAAACATTATTTCACAACAAAATGGCGCTAATAAAATTGTTGGTAATTATTAATTCACCCTTTTTTGGGTGAGTCTAATGTGTGTTTGTGTATGTGTATGTCTGATTTAGTTTATTGCTAATAATCCAAAAAAATAAAACAATTTTCATAGCTAAATTTAACGATATCATTGTTGTTTGGATTTGTGTGCCCATGTTTGGAATCGTCTGTTCTATAACCTAGCATTGATTATTGATATATTGTATGTTGGCCCGTCAATCGAGCGATAGGTAGGTTGAAAACCTGTAAATTTGTTAAGTTTTCTAATTGTTTTTTTCTTCTTCTCGGGATTTCATTCATTATCGTCAATGTTTTAAATTCTAGCTAACGGCACAATTTGTCAAAAAAAGACGACTGACATGATGGTACCTAAAAATAGTCGCTTGCATACATCTTTCTCCATATTAGCAACAATTATGTTTTTTTTTTTCAAATGACCGTAAAAACGGAGGTGCAATTCGATAATGTATTACCGCCAAGCGGACGATTGGTAATAAAAAAAAAACAATTTCGTTTAAAAATGGATATAATAAAGCAATGGTCGCTACAATGTTCGTATATAACTGATTCAAAAAAACAATCTCCGTTTAAGAGAAAAAGGTCCCAAAGAGTAATGGAAAAAGAAGAGTACAACTTAAATACTATGCTTAAGATCTATGAATCGAAGGAGTCTGCGCGTGCTCAAATACAGCGTTGTTGTTGTTTATTTATTGTGCCTTTCGTGAGTATTCTGGTGTGACATTCACAAAATGTTGCATACTAAAATAGATGCTGATATTTTTTACCAGATACTTTAGGAAGTCTTGCACATGTTGCATCAAACTGTTTATGTCTTTTTCACCAAGTGCTGTGTATGCAAGCACCGACCCAAGGCGTACAAATAAACGCAACAAATGAAATGAACCATAGAGTTCGGCCATCGGTGTGTCCGGATACTCTTTTAGAATGTCAGCATATTGTGGTCGTTCCGATTTGTAGAGTAATTGTGAGCCAAGCATTACATTGAAATATGATACCAAACCGTACATGACATCGATGACAGCCGCTTCTTTGCCTTGATTATTTGATTTGTTCGATTTTTTCATTTGAATGTACGAATCGATGATGTCTTTGACCGTTTTTTTGGCCGGAATTTCCAACAATTTGTGTTGCCGATTGATTGCGTCCCAATCATCGACTAACCACGGCTTCAGCTCTTCGGGGATTTTTATTTTTACCTCTGTTTTTGTGAGGAACGTATCCTCAGTCTCAATGCTCTGGTCAGTGAGCCGCTTTTTATTCCTAAAGGGTGAGAGATAGAGGTCAATTAGTTGTAAAACTACAGGAAGATTGAGAATTTGCTGAAAAAAAGCTTAATTGAAGACTGAATGCTTCAGCTACCGAGAATTTTGACTCAATCTTCTCAGTAGCAGTTTTAATGTAAGTGATTGTTCAAAATTACAAAGAATCCTTTGTCAGAACTGTTATTGGCCGGTTGGACGTGCGGATACTTCTTTATAGGCAGTACCTATAAGGTTCTGCTCTTTTGCTTTTCCGCACACTAGGTGTGGGAAAGGAATTTTCTATTCAAGTGCGGCAGTTGAAAAATTATATGGCACTTCTTCCTCCAACCTTTACATGTGGTTTTCTAAAGAAAATCAATCATAAAAGTTGGCCATTCACCATTGGTCGTGCCTATACTTACTTTGGTCCCTCATCTCGACTGTCCCGTTCGGATCCGCCACGTTTTATTTCACGCGTTGCATTTTGTTCTTGATTCGGTGTACTAGCGACCGATGTGGCTGATGCCGGTTTCGGTGCACCTCGGCTTCGTGATGTCGACGATGTGTTCAATGGTGTCGTTGACGCCTTATCAACCGGTGTCACCTCTTTCGACGGTGTTGATGCACGTGAATCACTGTCTTTGCCCGATGCATCTGGCTTCTTTGGCTTTGATGCTGTGACTATACATTGCAAAACAAAAAAAAATTATTTTTGGCTCCACACCATGACATACATTCCCAGTGAAAATGATTACCTTTCTTATTCTTAGAACTATATTGTTTTGACAGATCTTTTTGTCTCTGTACATTGGATTCATTGAATTTAAGAACACGATTTTCGGTTACCCATTCGTCCCAGCTGTCGATATACAAAATAAAATCGATTAATTTATGAACATCGTGATAAAATTTGAACGTGTCAACACGTTTACTGTCAAATGTATGATTTTGTCACGACCAATGAATTTATTTGATTGTTAATCTCGACGATTGTGCAGTTGAACTTACTTTTTGTTCCATCCGGCATAGTGTATAAAATATTTGACTTGTTTATCCTTGGCAATACTACTTTTCAATGCTTTGGCTTCATATAACAGTGGACCATGGAAACAAAGCACCTTTTCACCTATACAAACGATCGGAAAATAGAAAAAATTCATTTTATTGACTCTGGCTTTGGTTTACTCGAGTTTAAGAGTGCTTACCGTCGGCAAACTTCGGCTTCGGCGGCATTTTGGATGTAATTGTTGCGGTTTTTATGAGACTTTGCTGTGTATACAGAACCTACAGTGCCAAATCTCGATATTCACTTGATACAGAATGCACACTGCGACTAGTTCGATATGATTTTGTAAATTCTCTTAAAATTGGACAAACACAAGTCAAATGTACGCACTATTGAAATTATTTCTAGTACTGGAGACAAAAAAATCAAACGAAAAAACAGAAAAATGTCGTCCAATTCTATAATGCAACACGCAAACCGGAGTGGACACAGAAAATTATGAGTTATTTTTTTTTCATTGGCGAACTGTCAAAATGTTATAGAACAATGCAATACATTCACAATGGTGGTGGGTATTCAACACAAATATACAACCATCAATACACCGGCGTCAGGGTTGGACTATTGTCAACGGTGTGGTGAATTTCTACATTGAGTATGACAAAAAAAACGTTAAATTAATATATGATTTCTGGTGCAAAAGATAATAATTTAATTACATTGAAAAATGAATTCCATTTTATGCGACTTTTTCAGGATTTTACCAGCAAAATATTTGATTAAGACCACATTTTTTATTTTTTTGTGTATCTTTCGTCTGTTCATATTAATTCCATACAAGGGAATTAAGGTGTTAAGGCATTTGTATAAGTGATAAAGCGTTTCTGTGTCTATATATTTAGACAACATGACGGTAAATACGAAAAAACCAAATTCTCAATTAAGTTTGTCGATGTTTATCACAATTTCCTTTTTGCTCGTCAAACATTTACGCCAAAATGTAAAAATTTGAATTAGATATCATTTCGTCGATGAAACCTATACTACTCTCGGTACTTTCTGTGGTGATGTAGACAGTTCTAACTTGTCAGTTGTATCCATTTTTCTGGTCGGTGATGGTGTGATTTATTGAAACTTACAATCAGTCTGCATATCAAATATAGACTTTTGATATGTGCGTCCAAATAAAGTTGAATATTCACGTTCTTCATTAGTTTTGGAACATGCCAGTTCCTTGTCCAAATTTCAGACTCTAAAAATGCGTCATTAAAATGCGATCCATTCATTCCATCTTAAGAATTGAAAAAAAAGAAAAAAGAAACATGATGTTGAAAACTATTGTCTTCAATTGTCAAACGTAATCACGTGAGTAACGGTCTTACTTACACTTTGCTCCATCCAGTATGATGATATATCTATTTCAATTGCTTTTGAAATGTTGTCCTTTTAGTATTTCTGCTTCGAAATCATCGCAATAAATCTTTGGAATCACACCAGAAATTGTTCACCTAAAACAAATGATTGCCAAAAAACCAAGCATTTCATTTCATTTTGAAGCAGAAAATAACTGAAAAATATCATGCCCAAACTAGGGGTTCGAAAAAATAGTAGTCAAAAAAATCCATACCGTCAAATCCATACCGGCTTCTATGGATATGCGCTTTCATTTGTTTTCAAGTGTAAACGGTCTCTGGTCACCCACTCGTCCCACCTGGAAATAGGAAAACATAGCATCAATCGTTACTTGTTGAGTAATTGGATATTTTTTCATAAAATCCATTTTAAAGTCATAAGGCATTGTCATTTATTTACTTACATTGTACTCCATCCACTGTAATGTATCTTGTACCTAAGGGGAGAATCATAAAAGAAAAGAATTAATTTAAAATAATCGACAAATAATCGCAAACATATAATGAAAAAATTGTCTTGTACCATTTCCGTCCACTTTCACTAGTTCGAGTTTCAATAATTTTGGTTTCGTATAATGATTTTTCGTAGTAACAAAGAATGTTATAACCTAATAATCCATAAAAATTACTCGATGAATGAGAAAAATCGAATAAATGAATGGAATAAAAAAATGCTCACCATTACGCAATTTTAGGTCGATCTCTACATTTGAAGTATCATCCAGTAATAACTGTTGTAAACTCTCTTCCGTCAGCCACTCGTCAAATCTATGAATAGAAAATGATTGCAAAACATTTATGCCAAATAAAAGTGACTCCTCAACAGGAGTCAATAGGTGTCGTCGATTGATACTTACCTATCGCTCCATCCGATGTAGTGAACGAAATATTCGATTTCTTCACCGATTTGATAACCGCTGTTCTGCAATATTGTTGCCTCATACCACGCTGCGCCATCGTAGGCTAAAACTGTTTCACCTGAAAATGTATAAAAATAGATGAAAATCGGATCAAATGAAATCAAACCGAAATTTCAACCAATTACCATTTGCAAATTTTAATTCTGGCATGTTGGTAATTTAAATTGCTGTTCAAATATAAATTTCACTCAAACTGTTATAGTTACGCTCGAATAGCGATGGTTTCTTTTTTGTTTGATCAAAACAATATCTAATTTGAAAATAGAAGACGGTCGTATAGTGATATGCTAAGAGAAAACTGTTACTTTTTTCCCTCTCTTCAGCGAAGTGTCAAAATACACACAGTGCAATATATGTTCAGTGCAAAACAACAACAATATACATAACCAACAACGACACCGGCAGCAGAAATGCAGCAGGGTTGACCACTTTGTCAGTTCGCAAAACAAGCAGTATGGTGAGAATTCAATTCGGGTGTTCAAGAAAAATCGTTGGGGAAAAATGTGTTGATTTTTTTTTTAAATAAACTTTATTTGAATTAAGAGGTGATTTTATTCAGATTTGATTTGATTTTTGATGAAAAAATGTCTAAACAAGTAGATGTTGCTCAAATAGCAACGGTCACATTAATTTCCCTGCCTAAATTAATTTTGATCTTCGTGTATGCTCTGGTGTACGATTAACAAATTGATCCATGCTAAAATATTTGCCGATATGTTCAATTAAATACTTGAAAAAATCTTGAATATGTTCCAACAGACATTGGATATCTTTTTGATCGAGTGGTGCGCGAGCCAGTAGAAATCCAAGCGGTACAAATAAACGTAACAAATGGAATGATCCATAGAGTTCGGCCAACGGTTTATCTGGGTACTTTTTCCGGATCTCAGCGTATTGGGATCGTTCTTGTCTATTCAGCAATTGCGGTCCAAGCATTACATTGAAATATGATACCAAACCGTACATCACATCCAAAAATACCGGTTCTCTCGTTGAACAAAACGACGATGATGACTTTTTGTCACGAACGTATGAATCGATTATTCCTTTGACGGTCTCTTTGGCCGGAATTTCCAAAAGTTTCTTTTTTCGGCTAATTGCATACCAATCTTCTACGAGCCATACCTTTAACTCTTCGGGAATTGGGATTTTTATATGTGACTGTTGCGTTATATTCGCCCATGAATCTGGAATTTTTCTTCTCGATGGAAAAGTGACAGAAATTTTGGATTTTATTAATTTGGTATTTGACAATTGCTGATATTTCAATTACCTTGGTTCCATGTCTCCGGAGCTGTCTCGTTTTCTCTTCCGTGTATTGGCGGGTGGTGTTGATTTCGATGGTCGGCCACGTTTTCGAATTGTCAATGTGTTGGCCAGAGTACTGGATAAACTAATTGGCGGTTTTGTGCTTATTACAGTCGCTTTCGGTTTGCCCTTTGGCTTTGACACTGCAATTTAGTTTAGATGTGATTAAATTTCATTTGGTTTCACACAAAATAATTATGCATGTGATATAAAAACGTGCCTTATAATAAAAATGTGACCATGGTCACATCATTTACTACGGTATTATAAAGAAAATCACCTTTTTTGTTCTTCTTGATTTTTGTATTATGGATTAAGCTCAATTCGTCACTGTATTTGAGTATACGTCCTTCGGTATCAGCGACCCATTCATCCCAGCTGATAGAAAGAGAAAAGACAAAATTATTCAAGCGAAAATGTGCAAGCACGTCATCGTGTAAGCAAAGCACATTGTGTCGGTTGTTCAAGCAAAATGCGTCAATGATTAACACCAACCCTTTATTCCAGCCGTCGTAATGTATGAAATATTTCATTGGGCCATCGTGGGCATATTTTGCCTTCAACACCTTGGCTTCGTACAACTGTTCTCCGTGGTAACAAAGCACCCGTTCACCTGAAAAGTCCATAACAAATTCTCACAGTCATGCCATTTCCAGATTTTTGCATATCAATCAATGAAATAAAATCGTTGAGGCGCATACCGTCTTTAAACTTTGCTTCTGCCATCGTCGGTTGTTGCTTTTATTCTCTTCTCGCGCTGATTTCAACGTGATTCGTTATTGTTCTCCGATGGTTTTTTTTCTTACTCAGAACGGGACAATGTCTAATTTGAAACTGTAACACGTAAAGTCGGCATGTACACAAAAGAGTGTTTCCCTCCAATTGGTGAATTGTCATTGAATGTTGTTGCACGTACGTTGATTGGTGAGTATACAATGCACACAACCGTCGACCCCGGCACAAGGGTTGGACAATTCTCAACTCACAGTCGTGTGGGGAATTTCCCCGCTTTTTTTAAAACTTTATTTCAAATTAAGAGAAGTGTGTATTCATTACATAAATAGCTTTGTATTTTTATTATATTGTTTTATGCATAATGGTAACGGATTTGAAAATAAATTCGATTTATCACAATTCGTTTATCTCTTTTCGAAATTTGTGTTTAAAAACAAAATAATGTAAAGTCCATAGTTTCTATTTTTAGAGTACGTTAGCACTTTTTACCGCTTTTCGCATAATTTCCAATTTATCTCCATGCCAAGTTGGCTCTAGAGTGGCATTTTCAATTTACAATCGTGTGGCTAATTTCATCACATTCGTCAATTTTTTCTTAAATTACGTTAATTAAATTTTCTCGCTTTTTTCTCTTCTGAAAAAAAGTTCAGTGAAAATATCGATTTGCTTCTGTCGAAGAAATTTTTACAAATTTTCAAAATATTCGGTGATGTCACGGACCGAAATCTCAACTAGTTGATTACTTTCATCGCCGAATGATATCATCTCTTCAGGAATTTCGATATATTTATCTGTCTGCGTCAAAATTGAATCGTTCATTGAATCAATTGATCGTCTTTTGTTCCTGTGTGGAAGAAAAATTGAATTGTATCTTACTCCTATGTAAAAAATGGTAAATATTTTTTTTAAAATTTTTGTCAAAGAATTTTAGAAGGCGAAAAACATATCTCTCTTGATCATATTCAAATAATTGATAGTATTTTCATATTTGATCGAAGTGTTTAATCAAATCTTGACCACATACTTTGGTTCCCTCAGTGTGACGTTTTCTTTTCGCATCAATTTGGGTGAAAGATTATTATTGGTGTACAATGCTGATTTTGAATTTGCACGGGTACGTCTTTGTGGTGTCGCCGGTGTCTTCAATGCATCTGCCTCTGATACTACAGTAAAATAATTTTAGTTAATTGATTTCCAATTATATTTGTTTTTGTACCAAGTATTCTAACCGATTATATGTAGTTGGTGGCTATAAGTTGTTATATTACCTTTTTCAATCCGTTTGCAACCTTTTAGAATATTCAATTCTTCGTGATGGCTATTCAATTCGGATTTGTCGCGTTTAACCCTCAGTGTGACGTTTCCTTTTCGCATCAATTTGGTTGAAAGATTATTATTGGTGTCACATGCTGATTTTGGCGCATGGCCACGTCTTTTTGGTGTGGCCGGTGTCTTTATTGCATCTGTCTCTGATTCTACATTAAAAAAATTTCAGTTGATTGATTTTCAATAATATTTTACCAAATATTGTGCCAACTTTATTCTTTTTAGCTGTACTGTTCAGGCCAGATGACGTCAAATAAGTACAATTTTATTTTGTGACATTCATTCTAGCATTTATTGAATACAGTTTCACTTTGCAACCAAATATATAGCTGACCAGATCAATATGTGAACCGGCTAGAATATTCGTGACCTCAAGTGTCAAAACAAAGCTACAACATGTCCATACATTTTTTATATGTTATCTTGAGCTCACGAATATTCTAAACGATTCGAATATAGACAATATGTACTTGGTGGCTATAAGTTGTTATCTTACCTTTTTTAATCCTTTTGCAACCATTGATTATATTCAATTCTTCTTGTTTTTGTACATTTTCATCGGTGATTTTTAATAAACGGTCTTCAGAAACCCATTCATCCCAACTGTGCATAGAGAAAGAGAAGAATTCAGTATTTCACTGGTTTTTGAAATAATCAAAAGGTTGCACACATGAGGAGTGTAAAGTGTACCTTTTCCGCCATCCAATATAATGTATTGAATATTTGAACTGTTTACTCTTATCGACGGTGCCTTTAAAATGGCCACATTCCATTATTGTGGCCCAGTACAAAAATGGTTCGAAATGACATAAGACCTGTTCACCTGAGAATTTGGAAAAATTTAGCATTATTTTACTGAATGACCAAATGAGGTGCCCACCGTTTTGAAACATTTGCTCTGGTCGTTTCGGTACATCTTCGCAGAATCTTAGTAACCGATCCTCAGTAACCCATTCGTCGTAACTACGGTATAGAGAAGAGAAAAGAACGCAATTTTTTAATAAATGATTAGCTCCACACTACTCAACTCTTCCACTTACTTTTGCTGTACATAACTTATAAAATATTGGACGTGCTCGTTAAAAGAGTATTCTAATATTTTGGACTCGCACCATCCGTTCAGGTAATTGTCAAAACACAGAACTCTTTCGCCTGAAAATGTCATTAGATCGACCGAGCCACCAATTGAAATGAATAAGTCAAAGAAATCAATCAAAAAGTGTTTACCATATGAAAATTTCGATTCCATTTGTCTAAGATCCGTATGTTTCGGATATTTGACGACTAGTTGCTTTTCAGTGGCCCAAACTGCTTTCGAGGCTCGGAGTACATCATTAGATAACCAATTCAATCTTATTTTAAGAAAAGAGAAACAAATATTTATGATGATGGCCACTGTCGCGTCAACCAAAACAGTAGAGTCAACCATAATTGGTGGAATGTACATACTTTTGTAGTTCCTCATCCACATCAAGTACCAAATATTTGATTTGATCATCATTGAAAAGTCGACTCCTCAGTACTTTGGCTTCAAACTTTTGGCGTAAAGAACATGTTACAATATCACCTGAAAATCAGCAATTGGAATGTTACAAAATGATTACCAATTGGAATATTACAATCAATTACCTTTCAGAAACTTTGGCTTCAATATCATTTTAACACTTGTTTTTTCCTTCTGTTATGATTTTTACTCTCTATTCAATGATATTTTCGCGATTTGACAACGCTTTTGTTATTGCAATTCAATAGAACTCGATCAATCAAAACACCGGAATGTAGTGAAGAAAAAAAAAAACAAAAAACCGCACAACGAACAACACCGACAGTAGGGTTGACCACCACATTTGTGTGGTGAATTTCCCCACCTTCAAAGAGAATTTATCAAACATTCGAAAAATGCGTTAATTTGGGAGAATTAAAGAGGGGTTTTCTGTGTTAAAGAAGAAATTACATTTTCATATGATTTTTTTAACCGAAAGATATTTGAAAACATTGTGTCCATGCAAAAAAAGACCAAACAAAATCTTTGGAAATAAAAAAACCTATCCGAATGGTTAAAGGATATTTAACGCAAAAAACATAAGTTTTAATCCGGCGGTTTCTCTCATACCGTCAAATAATAGAAAATATGTTTAAAGGCGATTTATTTAAAAGTTCTGTTGCCAACTTCAGTGCAGTACGGAGTTGATGGTGTGTTGTCACCGCTAATATGATGTTGATTCGCGTGTGTCGCCCTCTTCAAATGTTTGGTGCGCGTCATTTATAAAAGGCCTATTGAAAGCTTGCTGTTCAACGACTATTGTCTACTTTTTTTGGTCGTCCATTAGTTTTATGTCGTAACACAACGCCACAACAGCTAAATATCAAACAAGATTTGTTGCCAGTCAAAATAAAACAGTAAATAAAACAATCGACTGAATATTCGTTGTGTATTTGAATTGCACCGATAAAATTCACCAAAAATCCATTGAACGATAGCGAGAAAAAAAAAGTGTGTAAATGTTATTTTTTGTTTTGGTTTTGTTAAAGAAATAATTAAATTTTTGTTTTTTTTTTGTCAATATTTTCGTCAATCTTGATCGAGAAGAGAGTAATTGGGGAAAAGAGAGAAAGAGCGAAAATAAGAGTATACAATTTGTGACACGAATGTTGAAGAATGAGAAAAAAGTGCCGATATGAAATGGAAATAAATGCGAGAAAAAAGATGCAAACGAAAGATAGAACAGCGAATAAAGCCGATTGAATGAAAAAAATGTTTATAATTATTTGTTGAACACCGTATGTGTGTACGTGCATCGGTGCACATAAGTCGGCGTGTAAGACGAAAAGAGAGAAATAATAAATATAAAAATATCACTGCGTGCAATGAAAAATGCACCGAAAACTAAACAACATTCATTCATACGTCGTGGAAATGGAAATTCAAAATCGTTCATCAATTGATTGAATACAGTGCCGCATTCTATATCAAATTTACGGGACTTTTTTTTAATTCAATCTTCAGCACTGAAAATCATTCATATGAAAACACGAACGATATATAGTACAAAGTCATTAAAGCCATTTGCCACACACATTGTGCCACCTATTTTCTATCTATATATGTGTGCTTCGGCTGTAGTTCACACACTTTCCACACCACATATCATGGGCATATTTAATTGGCAGCACCGTCGGAAATATTGTGTGCTTTGATTCTCTTTTCGGCAGCTTCTCTCAGTTCGAGTGTTTCAACCAATTCAGGCCAACATTGAGGCGCTGGTAGTTGTCTTTGTGAAAGTTTCATTCGATTCTCCATTTTATATATATTTTTTTTCTTCTGTTTCGGTTTTTCTACTCAACGTAGCACGTACGATTATATACACCACACACATTGGTTTGAATGGTGATATTTCCCATTTGAGTCGCATTTTCGTTGTTTAGTTTGTATTTTTGCCGCTTGTCAACTCTCGTGTGAATAAGCTGCGATACAACTCCTAAAAGTTTCGAAACATTCATTCACCAAAATATTCAAGTACTCAATTTCATATGATATATATAGATTTTCTAATCGTATCGGGATTTTAAGTAAAAAACAAAGACATCCAACAATTCGTGTGTGAGGGCTCAAAGCTCGCGGTTATTTTGAAAACATACACAATTTATACCGTTTTTCAGACCGATTCGGATTATGTCAAAAGCTGAATTCAAAGTACAGTTTTTAGGTTTTTGATAATATTCGGATATTTAAAGAAAGTTTCATAATTTACAGACATTTATACGGAATCGAAGTGATAATTTATGATAATATATGTGTGCAATTTTGATATGATTCTTTTTTCTCGTTTCATTAATCGCTGTTTTTCGTTCAGTGAATGTGAATTGTGAATGGTGAAATGGAATAAGATATAAATGGCGAAATAATTATTATTCAATTAATTTTACATTAGAATTAGACATCAATTTGGACTTTGTCATTTCTTTCTCTCTTTATCACTACGATTTTTTTATTTTTGGTTACTAATTTTTTTCTTCTTTTTGTGATTTTTTTATTTTTTCATATTTGAAAAAAAATTGATTTCTCGAAAATTTTAACTATTTTCCAGAAAAATACATAAAAATTGGATTATTTTCATTCCCGATTTTTTTAAATTTTTCTTTTGATTGAAATTTTTCGTAATTTTTTTTTAAATTTTTTTCTGCTTTTTTGGTTATTTTTTTAATTATTATAATTTTTGTAAAAAAATCTAGGGGCTTTTATCTTCAAATGTATACGATTTATACTGTAAATAGTGAACTATATTGCAGAATCATCTGTAATACGCGCAAATAAATGTGCATAACTGCATATATTTGGTGTATATTTCGTGTATATTTCGTCTATGGCATGTTTTTTCATTCTCTTTTGTGCGGATCTTCTTCGATTCTGTGTAGCTATACTGTGTATGTGTGTACACTGCAGTTTGAAATACATCTTATTCACTGGTATAGGCGAGAAATTTTAATCGTATATATGATGAATAGGACGTGAATATTGTGTATAAATTTGTATGAACGAATGATGAAAGCCCCTAGAAAAAAATGTTTGTATTCGTGAAAAATCGTTTGAATTTAAAATAATTCGTTTAAAATTTAGAAAAATTTCTCAATTTTTTTGTTTTTTAATTTTTTTACGTATTTTTCTAACAATTTTTTGTCTCCTTTTTATATTTTAGATATTTTCACCGTTAATCACCATCAATAAGAAAATAAACCACAAAAATGGTTGAGGTAAAATCCGTAAAGGTGGATAATTGGGGTGTATTTTTCCTCCAAAAATTGCAAAATTTCTTCAACAAAACGGACTATTGTGATTTGACATTGCAGTTCAAGGATAATTCGCAATTGAAAGTGCATCGTTTGGTTTTGAGTGCTTGTACAGATTTCTTCAATGTGCTCGAAACTCAATACAATGTCCAAGACGATATATTGATAATGCCAAAAGATTTGCAGGCCGATGTTGTTGTGCCAATCGTGAATTTCATGTACACCGGCACATTGGAGTTTGAGGTGAACATGTATCCTCGTCTCTTAAAAACGGCCAAAGACATGAATATGACGGTTCTTTTAAAATTATTGGATGCCCACAAGCGAACGGTGGGCGAATCGCTGCGTCAGCAACAAGTTAAAGCGCCAGTTTTATTGAATAAAGGTGCCGTTGGAAATCAACGTGTGACAAATACATATTCAAGGCCGTCAGCTCCACAACGTACCTATACACAACGTCGTCCAGCACCAGTAGTTACAAAGACGGTGAGTCCGCGTGGTCCGTACGGCGTTCAAGGCGTTAAAGTAAAATCGGAAAAATCACCGGTTAATATTATTCGATCCGCTCCATCAACGTCGTATATTCGCAAGAATTTACCCGAACCAGTTCAATTGGTGGCCAAGTATGCGGCATCGGGTTCGGTTAAGGGACCATCACGCTTTGAATGCACCGATGATGTTAATACTGACGCGTTTGAGAGTTCATTTGATAACATTTCTTATGAAAGCAAACCATTGACTACCAGCAAAGAAGACGACGATGCCACATTTGAAAAGGTCAAACGTAGCGCAGGTGAGACTGAGTTTTCTCTTTCTTTTTCCATCTTTCAATCAATTTTCACAGAAATTCTGTAAATAAATCAATGAAATTTAATTCAAAATCATTTACTTCCAAGAAAAATTCCCGAAATTTGAATAAAAACTCATGTTCATCTCTTTTCTTCAGCCGCCGTAAAACGTGCATATTCATCGGCCAATTCGTCGATTGCGTCACCGCCGGAAAAGAAGCCAAACATCGAGGACATAAAAGAGTATACTGAAGCGCATCGTTTGCGCAAAGACATTGTGGCCCAAGAAGTCGACGAAGAAATGGACTACTATGCGGAAGATTTCCAGAATGCTGACGACGACGATGAAGAAGATGGTGGCGAAAACGCCGGCAGTGTTGTTATCAAAAGTGATTCCGGTGGTGCGGTAAATCATGCAAAGATCATCAGTGAAGTATTGAAAAAATATCCACACTTGGTGAAAAATAACAAAAACATCAAATTGAAAATTTTGCAAAAAGGAAATAGTCCGGTGACTGTGTCTGCAATAACAAAAGATCCATCAACAATTGCAACGAGCAAACAACAAGCGGCTGCAAAACAAAGTAAATCAATAACGGTTCAATCAAAATTGCCGTCAAAATCGGAGGTGACCGTCAGTAAATTGGCTGCAACGTCAACACCAAAACCGGCACCAGCTGCACAACCGAAAAAAATCGACAGTCGTACGATGCATGCCTTAATTGCAAAAGGTGCAGAAAATATGACCGGTCCCTGGTTATGTTTAGAATGTGGCGTTGATGGTCGTCCCATCTCCATTCCCAGTTACAAAAGTTTCCGCCGTCATTTGACCAATATCCATAAGCAAAAGATTGATCCACGCCTGTGCGAACATTGCGGTCATCGGTCAAGCAAACGTAACGATTTATTCTATCACATGATGATAAAGCATCAAATCAAACCGCCGACTGATTTAACTTTCCCGAAATGTGGCCTGTGCACATTTATCGCTCTCGATCAGGTTGCGTTGCGTAAACATAAAGAAGAAGATCATCAGTCGCAAGGTCAACAGCATTGCATTTACTGTAACAAAACGTTCCAAAAGGAAATTCAATTGTACGCACACATGCGAAGCAATCACAAGGAGCGTGCCCAAGAAGATGGTGTCATGGACTTTTCCGATGAAGAAACATACGAAGATGATGCCGATAAATATGTTCCAAATCATCCGGAAGCAACGCAACCAACCAGCGGCGAATCGAAAATCAAAGTTTTGTCAAATATCACATTGCCGGCCAAAGGTCAGTTTATAATCGATTCACAGGGTGGTGGTAATGTTATTGTTGCCACAACAACGGAAAATATCAATTTGGAACCAAGTTCGGAGGCTGAAGGTTTGAGTAATGTTGCATCGGGCATCGCCACCAGTCTTGCCGTTTTGGATACAAACGCACATTTAGACGCTGGTGAAACGTATGAAGAAGACTTACAATCGCAATACATTGAAGCCGCCATGGCCGATGTGCATGGTGAAATTTTAAAGAAAGAAGCCGAAGAAGAGGGAACTGAAGTCGTTACGAAATTCATCACCGAAGAAGGCAGCGAATTGGAATTGACGGCCGCACAAAAAGCACAATTGCTCGAACAACTCCAAGGGCAAGAAGGTCAATTGTCGGATAATGTGGTTATGGTATTGGATGCTGGCTATGAACAAACCGGTCCCGAAACCGATGTAAACAATACAAGTGCCGAAAGTATGGACGTTGATGCACAAAGCCAACAAAGTGCCGAAGATCCATTGGAAAAAGGCGATTCGACCGAAGATGAAATGGCATCGATGGAAAATGTTAGTGCCGATGAAGATTCACAACAAGATGTTGTACAAGAACAAGACGCATCAAATGATACGGAAAAAACTGGCGACGATAAACCGGTGAATAAATTGATTTCTGCGTTGGAAGGTGAATGGACGGAAGAAGAAGAAGAAGAGGCCGATGAACAAACGACAACAGAAAAATCAAAACCAATCGAAACAAAAACCGATGAGAAATCAACACCATCCACGGTTAAAGCAAAATGTAAACGGGATGAGAACAGTGAGAGTAAAACAAGCGATAAAGGCAGTAATGATAGCGCAAAAAATATACTCGACGACTGGGATTCACAGGAGAAATTCGATGATGAAAGCGAAAAAAGTGTAAACGAAGAAAAAATCGAAGAAGATGCTGATGTTAAAGCAGAACCAACCATCAAAAGTGCGGACAGCAGTGAAAGTAAAAATGCAACCGGCAATGGTGGCACGGAGAAAGCGGAGAAAAAACAAACGACACAGAAAAACGAATTGAAAACACTTATTACTTCCGATTGGGGCGATGAAGATGAAGAAGCATTCTAAATGAAAGCAATCACTCACAACACCTTTTAAAACACAATCTATACGTATATACTATATCCATGGAGAGTTCTTTTTTCAGAATCAATGACATAAGTTGTACATGTTTTAATGTCGACACAACGTAGCAATGTAAAACCATCAAATTTTTTTGTTTCTAATTTAAGATATAAACATTTCCCCAATTTTAAGAAGAAGAAAAAAAGTAATTTTATGAAAATAGTGTGTGTTGGCGCTATAAGAAGTATATTACGAGGGCTACAACTCAATTCATCGGTCCGGTGTTTAGTACGATTTTTTTTTAATTTTTAATTTTTATTTTTACATTTAAAATTCTTATTCAAATTGTATGCAATGCATCACCAACCTCTACTCGATTAGCAATAGCATGAAAAAAATAATAAAAAATCTATAATTTACAAATTCCTATTTTTATTTTTTCAATAATAATGTCTCAATAATAAAACATTAGTTTCTACATTTAAAAAAATGTTTACATTTTTTTCTTTCACTTTTAATTTTGCCACTTTGCCGTGTGTCGAAAGTGGGATAAAGTTACTTTGCCGGGTCTTCATCGAAATTCTCCTCCCATGGACGTGGGCCTCGCTTTTGTTCCCACGTATCAATGTCCATTTGTTTAATCTTCTCATACTCGCTTTCAAGTGTAATATCCTCTGTTGATTTGAGTCCCATTGCTTCCAGCTCTTCTTTTGGCACTTGTTTTACTTTACGATACTTGTATCTAAAGACGGACAAAAAAGACTGATTAGGTTATGTTCACTGATAAATATTGTAATTGATTACCTAACTTCGCCGAAATGTTGCAAAACAAATGGTCCCAAGACCACAAGTGTAAGCAATGGCAATCCATAGTTGAACATACGATTTCGCTTCAATTGCACTTTTAATCGTTCGAACAAGTCTCTCATTTCGGTGGTCTTTTGTTTTGACTTTTTCGCACACAATGTTTTGATATTACACACACTCCAATGTCAATGGAACTATGTGTAAATATAGCTGTTTAAACAACAACACTTATTTGTTGCTACACCAACCAATTTTTCAATGCCACAATAAAAAAAACTTTCGGTCTTTCAAGAAAAAACAGAGAAACATTTCATTTAAAACATCACTCGTTCGGGCGCGAATCATGATGAGAATTGAATAAAAAAAAAGATTTAAATGGAAATATGTGTGCAATCTGTCAACAATAATAGTACACAATGTTCGACATTTGAAAGTGTGTAGATGGCATTGTGTCGGTTGAATATCTCTTTTTTTACAGCACAAACAAAGGAATAGTTTGAAAAAGTTTGATATGATAAAAAAAATCGAATTATTGAAAATGAAAAAAATGGTGCATCTTTTGAAAATGGGATTTTTTGGTGCGTGAGAAGTAAATTTAATGGATAAATCATCGTTAAATTTGACATGTGTCAAAAAGAGATGATTGGCGCCGTTGCTATACTCACCACACCAGTACAAGACGATATCGTATGTTGGTGTGAGCGAGAGCGAGTCAATTCAACGGAGCAAGTGTGCATTTGTGGTGGTGTGTCTGTATACATAAATGTGTTGTTGCCGCCTTGCAAGAGAGTCACAACTGATACACATACATTGACATTTGGGAATGGAGTTTTTTCTCACTGTCTGTCTCTCTTTGCACACACACACCGAGAGAGAGATAGAGAGAGTATATGTGATATGACACTAATTGAATCGCGCAAACAAAATATTCTATATATCGACGGAGCCTCTCTCAATCTGTCGAATTAAAACTTCATTTAGAAAACACCACATGAAAGTCTGATTGTGTGTTGCATATTTTCAATGATATAGCGTGTTTATAATAATTGTGTGAGCCCGAAGAAGAAAAAAAACGCAAATTTTCGCAAAGAGCAACGAGCAATATATCAACAGAGTGCTATTGATTTGTGTCGTGTGTGGTTTTTTTATTTTTGTTGTTGTTTTTGTTGAAGGGAAAATAAATTCGTCGCATTGAGAGGGAGATTGGTTATTTACTCAGGTGCCGATAAAGGTGGCATTAAAGTTCAATATTGGTTCCGGTGGACATATATAGTTTTTACTTTTTTTTAATATTTCATTTGCACATTCAGCCGAAATGTTTTATCCATACGATCGGCTCAATAAATGTCAACAAATAAAGTAAAAAGAAAAGAAATCAACACACACACGCACACCGAATAATACGTTGAATTATCGAACATTTCGCAAATCGATTTAGCACGGCCTCATGTGATTCCGAGTGGCCGCCGAATTTTTTTCTAACCCACCCCGAACATCACCGTTTTTTTTTTCTCGTTTGAAGTATGACATGCATGTCAAAATCGAGGTTTCGCTTTACTAAATGTGGTTTTTTTTGGTTTCGTTAACAGCAAAATGCGAATAATAAAAGTAGTTCTTGAAATTGGCCATACGTCACATCTGAAAAGCAAAAAATCACCAGACGGATTCACACACGATTGGGAATTATTTGTTCGCGGCGCTGATGGTACCAATATTAACCGATTTGTTGATAAAGTTGTCTTTAATCTACACGATTCATTCCCAAAACCATGTCGAGGTAAGCAATTTTTTGTACCATGGCTTCAGACAGAGTTTTTTTTTGGAAATTTGGTTCAATCACAAGTGACAATACAGGACAGTGCTTGCGCAATGTAACTGTTGGTTTCTGGAAGATTAATGTGGTTATTTATAGACAGTGTGTGTTTATATTTGGAGGAACATTCATATATTATTTATTTGACAGTCTAAAAATGGATTTTGGAGTGGCATTCACCATTTTTGGCTTTAGAGTTCAATATACGCTGTTCAATATTCAACCATTCGGTTGAACTTTTTCTTCTACAAACTGTTGATAATAGCAATGTTTACATTGTTATAAACACAATCAGTGGTAGCAAAATAGTGTTTGAACATTTTTCCGCCAAAAAGATCTCAAATACCAATTATTTGGAGCAGAAGCTATTTTAAATTTCCAAGAGAATTGTTTCTCTGCGCATATAAATTGTAATGACCGAATGTCTAATATTGATTTTGTTCTAATTTCAGTGCACAAGGAACCGCCATATGTATTGAAAGAGTCAGGATATGCCAGTTTCAATTTACCAATTGATATTTACTTAAAAGCGGGTCCACGTGATGATCCCAAGAAGTACTCAACCACATATGATTTGGATATTTACAAAACAATTGTAACAAAGCATCAGATCATCATACAAAATCCATCGACTGAATTTCGGAACAAACTGCTAGACGGTGGTGGCATTGCAGTCAACGATGGTAAGTTGCTTTTTTTGAAATCGAAACAAAATCAATTTGAACAGTTTTCCGTGAGACATGTGGATGAAGAAGGACTGGGAGCGGGGAAAGGAAGAGCGAAAAAAATCATTTTCTTTCTTTGGTCATGGATCGAGCCACTGACGATACTTTTTTGAATATTCCACATAATCTTTCCGGTGACACGGAACCGCTGAGCAAAGACTGTGAATTGATTTTGATGCCGACAAAGGCTAGAATTGATTTTGATTTCTTCTTACTTTTTTTACTTTTCCGCACACACATAGTGTGCAGTAAAGTAATGTGCGTGAAAGAAAGGAATTTTGTTTCTATCTGACCCCCATAACTACAGAAAAAAAGCATCAATTTTTCAAGTCTTTATTTCCTTACTCCGCAGGTCATATGGACGATCGAATGAGTTCACAGCAGCCGGATTCAACGACAAAACCTCGTCCGCAAAGTAGTGGCGGTGGTGGCAGTGGCGGAAGTAGTGGTAGTAGTAAAAAGCACAAGATCAAAAGTGATGATATAATAAAACCGACGACAAGTACATTTGAAAATTTATTTGGTTCGCCGATATTGAATTCAAAAAATTCGCCCGATCCAAAACTCAGCAATAATACAAACAATAGCAGTAGTAGTAATAAAATACCAATACCAAGTAGTGGCAGTAGTAAAAATTCATCACAAAAACCGTCAAAAGATCGATCTTCGGAAAAGGGTAGCAAAGAGAAGCGGGATAAAAAGGATAAATCGGGTAGTACGCCAAAAGAGGGTAGCAAAGAATCGTCATCGAAGGCAAAATCGGACGAAAAGCATGAGCGTCGTGAGGAGAAGCGCAAAGAGAAAAGTACAACAAAAGATCGTGAACGAAGTAAGGAAAAATCATCAAAACGGCCACCAAGCCCAAAACCCACTAGTCGCAGTCCGAAACGGTCTGCCTCACCGCCACGGGCCAGTTCAAGCAATAGCAATCGACACGAAAGCATTCATATGAAATACGAGGAAAAATCGCACAGCAGTAGTTCGGGTAAAAAATCGAAAAAAGAAAAACGCGACAAGTCAAAAGAGCGTGAACGATCTGGCGATAAGAGCAAAGAGGTCAAGCATCAAATGCATGCAGCAGTAGCTGCAGTGGCGGCCGCAGCAACAGCAGCTGCAAATAAACAAAAGGAGGAAAAATTGTCGAATAAATCGATGGAAAAGCTGAATGGTTCGAGTAAAAAAGATGAAATCGATGGAAAAGAACGTGATAAAAGTAACAAATATCGTAATCACGACGCAAAACCACCGTCACCGTTGGATGTGGTGCCGGTAAAAATGTCAACGCCAATCGATGCAAAGAAATCACACGATAAAGACGAACGCAAGCACAAACATAAGAAAAAAGACAAAAACAAAGATAAAGATCGAAAAAAGTCGAAATCAAAGGATATATCCGATGAGAGTCCGCTGTCAACGTCATCATCAAATCGAAAACATTCAAATGCACCAACACCGAACGCACAATCGAATCGCTTGTCAAATACAAAATCGAATGCAATGACCACCGTAATGCCACTACAATCCAATCAATTAACCGATAAATCATCGAGTGAATTCGATGACGATGAATACCATGATCGGATATCGCCAAATAAACCGGACAAAGTAAGCAGTTCAAATGATACAAATCAATCGTTGGACCATCTAATGGAGCCCATTGCCGATGTTGTCACACCACGTACCGTTGTTGAATCACCGAAAAAGCATGGTGGCGAAAAGTCATCGGGCAAAAAAAATAAAGAACCAAAATCCAATCAAAGTTCGGCATCCAAAGAAGAAAAGAAGAAAAAACGTAAAAGTAAATCGGACAAACAGAATAAGCATGATGAGAGTGTTGGTAGTTCAGGTGGTAAGCGAAAAAATCAATCGCCAATGGTTGATGAACCGTCGATTAAATTTTTAAAGAAAGACGATGAAAAAATGCCAAAAGTTAAAGATGACATTTTACATGAAGCGACAAAAATGTTTCCGGGACGAACACCGCCAGTGCCACAATTGGCCGCATCACCATCCACACAAAAATTATATCATCAATCGCCCGACTCATCGAAACAGGGACTGAAACGAAGTGCCGAAAATTTGATGAACAATCAATCGTCAAAAATTATCGCCCATCGATCACCGTCGTCAGCATCATCGTCACCGATATCGTCGGATGGTGAAACATCACCACAGCGATTACAACAGCAACCACCACCGCCGCCACCATCATCTAATACACCACATTCGACTGAATCGCCCGGTGAAAAACAATATATCGCTCAATTGCAAGCATTACAACAGAAAATTTTGACACTTAAAGACAACGATGAACTGCAACAAGTCGTTGAAATGATTGCCGAAACTGGATGCTATGAAATTACAAACGAAACATTCGATTTTGATTTGTGCGCTCTCGATCGCAACACCGTACAACGGCTTCAAGAACGACTCGGCTGATTAATGGGCCATCCGGAACACATACACTCATTTCATCAATCGCTTTTTTTCTTTGTTTTTTTTTTTTTTTTTGTAACAAAATAACCAATTGTTTTTTTTATCGAATCGACAATTGAGATAGAAAATCTATATAAAGACAGGGTTATTATATTGTACTTCGACTCGTTTAATACCAGTTAAGAATGTGCATTACAATTGGCCATCATCCAGAGAAAAAAAAATTAACAATATTACTATTCGTTTCATCGAATAATACTATATTTGAACATATATTTATATATATATATCGATTACCTCATGGTAATAGCCGCAATACGGCTATACGTTAATGTCTTTTCGGTCACAATAGAGTGTACAACCTTTACTACTTCAATTGAAGTAACATTTTGAAAATATACACACTCACAAAGGGAATTTTTTTTTGAATTTAACAAGCTAAGAATTAATAAAATAATGTACAGAATGAAAATTGATGGTGAAAAATGTCTAAATCAAAGAAAATGAAAGCAAATGCTTAGTGAATAAGGAATTATCTCGTGGACCAAAAAAAACACTTATTTAGATAAGGAAAATCGTACTTATAATAGTTCTCCCAGACATCCCCATTTTTTGAATAAATTTGATGCAATAAACAAAGGCAAAATCGAAAAAATGAAAAAAAAAAAGTTGTTATGAAGCAAAAGAATTGCACTGGAGTCGACGTTTTGACCATTCCCTTTGAGAATCATTTCGTCGATCAATTTTTATTGCTGCAGAAAAACACATTGATTCCATTCGATTTAAATTTAGACCTTTTGATAAAAAAAGCAATTTTTGACACGATTAACCTTTAGGAAGCTTTAGATTTTCTAAAATGTTTCTCAGCTAATTTTCAATGTTTGATTTTTTTTATTTTTTCAATTTTTTTTAATATCCTTTTTTTGTTTTTAAAATGTGAATTTTTTAATTAAATTAAAAATTTTTGAATACTCCAAAAAAAAACTTTCAAAATTTTTTACAGTTTTTTTTTTCTAAATATAAAAATTAAAACGTGAGTCCACTGCGAGATATTTCCTTTTTGTGTTGCTTTTCCATTTTTTCCAAATCGAATTTTTCTCTTAATTCTTATATTATTATTTATTGAGTGTTATTTAAAAATGACAATTTTTTTTTAATATTTATAATTTTCTGGAGAGTACGAGCATTTTTATTTCCAAAATTTGCCATCGGAGAAATCCTATTCTCCGGGGTGAGCATTTCCGTGATATAATCCATGGAAATAACGTTAATTGAAAAAGTTCTCATTTTCGATCATAAAAATTAAGCAAAAATACTTTACATAATACACAGTGGTGCGAATGTGTAAATGAAATGTGTCATGGAATTGGTTTGAAAATTTCACAAAATGGAAATTAATCCGATGCTCAGAAAGACTGGATTTAATTTATTTTTTAAAGAAAAGAAAATCCTTTAAAATAAATGGTTAATAAATCGGGTATTGAGCTGACCATATAAATTGGTATAAGAAAATAAAACTCAATAGAGAAAAAAAATAGACCGAACTATTATAAATCAAAATATAAAAAAAAATGCCAAACAATAAAATTACACAGCATATTCTATATATAGAAAGAAATTAGATGCTCGATTTAATACACGACCATCTTTCAATATTCGTTGTTATTTACCGTATTAAGTACAGTTGAATAAATGAAACACATGGACTTATAAACATATTGAAGAGAAAAATTTAAGGCATTTTTATTGATGGCTCTGATTCAGAGAAAAATTATAGCATTTTTGTTGATAAACATGTTTGAATGTTTCTTCAGTTGATAAAAAATAAAAGCGTTTATTGGCATCATCGACTTTGCAGGTACAAATCAGCAATGAATTCGACATTTCAGGTACTAATATCTGTAGATAGAAAAATTCGTCCAAAATCAACGAAAGAAATAAGTAAAAAGACCAAGAGTATTGTTTGGTAAGAGTTTTTCGTTTCCATAGAATGACTTTTGTCTTTTTCTTTTCATATTTTCCATTTTGTGGCACTCAAGTTATAGGTGTCTGTCAGAGCTTACAGATTTACATTTTGCAGTAACACATTACAATTGTAACGAAGCATTACTGTGATGCTATTACAATTGTAATGTTAGATTTTAGAATTACCAGTAATAGCTATTGCTATTCTTACTGGCAATGCTTCGTTACAATAATAATGTGTTACTCAACGCTGCCACTAATGTCAAAAATCCAACATTAATATTGAGACTTTTCTGAAGAATTAACTTTTGACTGCACAAAATGCAGACAACGATTTTCTAGCAAAATCGAGAAAAAATTGCATGAGGATCGATGCAAGAGTCGACGATATGAATGTTACATCTGCTAAATTTCAGTTCGCGATTCAATGCTATTAAGAAGTCACATGCGTAACAATCATACCGGTGAGAAACCATTTCCATACAAATGGTGCGATGCCAAATTCTCTCTGAAGTTCAGCGCTAATTTCCACATGAAGAATGTTCATCGTCAAAAGAAGTGAAGATCAGCCCAACCCGATCACTACACTCCACACCAATGGATTAAAACAACATATATTCATCATTTACTCGCGACCATTTCATTCAATGTACTTTCTCTATTCAATAAAATAAATTGACATAACATTTCCAAATCATTATCATCAACTGAATTGAATCAGAAATGTCATAAATTCAAATAAAATGCATTGAATAAACCCATCCAAAGTTTTCTTCATTTGCATCTCTTTCACTCCTCATTCTTTGTCTCCATTCAAAACGTTGAAATAAAAGATAAACACTTCAATTCAATTGAACGCTCATAGATTTGTTGTTGTAATACAAAATAACATCGAATAAAATAACAACACACAGTTTCAAGCACGCTTTTTCATTGTAACAATCGATTTTGTGCATACAAAGCAGCGATTACATTTTGTCTTAACGTGCATGTGGATAACGGCCTTGTGCTTTTTCTTGCCACTTCTTCTTGGTCTGCAAAATTTTTCCGAACCAAAGGGCAGCGATACCGCTATCAATAGCTCTGTCTTGTACGTCTGCCATCAAAATCGTCCTAAGCCCGCCAATGATACCCAAAACACCACGATACCATATTAATGAGCCTTTGAATGAATGAAATTTTTTCGATAATCAATTGAAAAATTATTTTAAAATTTTGATTTTATTATTATATTTCATTATTACCAATTTGTGCGCCATATTGAGTTGTACTGTCTGGATTTATGCTAAATTTCATTTCGTAGGCTGTAACTAGTTGAAGCATTGATTTCGATGTCCTAATGAAATGATTAAATTTGCACAAACGTTCCTTATGGTCTGCGCTGTTTTTTATTTCATCAAATAAACTCCACATCACGTTGTGTGCCGTGTTGATATCGTTGACGGTGTCATTCCATTCATCTTGAATTCAAAAAAATGGATTTATTTCAAATATTAAATTAATGTTAATGTCGCATCACAAAATAGTCATGTTACCCGTTTCCGTAACGAAATATAAATGTTCCAGCTCAGTCTTTATACGAAATTCATTAGTTTCATCAGCTTCCATTTTTATAAGTATATCCCTTTCAATTTCTATAACCAATACAGCACACGATCGGAAGACACAAAACAAAAACGAAACAAAATCATGCATATAATCAATAGTGAATAAAATACACATTATAATATATTTTATACATTTTATGCAACGGTAGGAATTTTGAATATCTTTTGCACATAAATGTAAAAAAAACGAACTTACCAGATATTGGTGTTTGATAAATCGACATTTTAAAAAAATATTTGAGGAAAAATGATGAATTATATACAAATTTGTTGTGGAATATTTTTATTTCTGAACTGTCAAAGTGGATGTGTCAAACCTCTTGGGCATTAAAACAAACCAGTTGTCCGACCCCAACTGGCAACACTGAAGCATATATACAAAACTTTGTGCATGAATGTGTTTGTTCGATCATCTTTCAGCTTTAATTCTATTTTCATTGAGTTGTTGTCGTGTTGTGCACTTCAATCCCGGCCATCCAATGCGGTATTTTGCCATTTTTCGGATTTTATTGTGTAATAAAGTTTTCACTTTCATTCTCACTAATGTGGGGACAACCAGCGCCATCCAACGGTAGCTTTCTTCAGTCTAAAAAATATTTTTCGAAAAAAAAAATGCCAATGCATTAACTAATTTCTAACAAAGGGGGAAGAGAGAGAAAAAAAATGTTTTTCTTTCCTCGACATAAAATTGTGGTATTTTGTGAATGTGAGAGAAACTGGAAGTCAAAATCAATAACACAATAAATCGATGGAAATTTTTAATAAGTCGTCGATTTAAAAGTCCCAACCGGCTAAGCCTATGAAGAGACAAAATGCGAATTCCCCTCCTCTGTGCCATCTTGTATTCCATAGTTGAACTCAATTTAGTTACAATGAATTGAATCGAAAAAGAGAAAAAAACAACAACAGTAACATGGCTACATAGATCTGTTGACCAGTGAGATACGTATAACAATGGAATGAAAGAATGAAGAAAGCGTATATGTGTATGTATGCATCAGCACGCATAGATGTACAGCTCTGTGTGGCCGTGCTATTGTTGTTGTTTTTTCTCTTTTTCATTTCAATGCTACAGAATTAAATTCAGTTTTTCGATCTAATTCGAACTAATGTGAGGTGGCGCTGATCAGCTGCGTTCGCATAAAAAAGTTCCCAATCTCATATACGTCAACCCCGCTTGAAAAGTCCCGAGGCTTTGAAATTGATTGGGTTGATGAGCAATTTCAATGATGAGCTTAGAGCGGACACAGACGCCATCTATTGTAAATATATTTTCAACTTAAAGTTGTGTTGAAAAGTCTCAATATTAATGTTAGATCTTTAACAATACGGGTAACATATTGTTATTGTAACGAAGCATTACTGTAATGCTATTACAATTGTAATATCAGATTTTTAGCATTACAGTAATATCTAATACAATTGTAGTAGCTATTACAAACATTTATGTTAATGTAATGGTTAGTAACATTACAACTTTAATGCCGGTAAATCTGTCAGAGCTTATTAAAGTCCAGTTCATTTGAAAATATCGCCACAGAAACACGTTTATTTCATTCTGCAGCAATTCGTCCTCTCACCTTCAAATAAACACCAGCGACATTCTTCGTTTAAGCATTTAAATAAATTAACATTGATTATAGTTGTCAGTTTGGTACTTCAACGACGGATTTGGTGTCATTTTATATGATCCGCGCACATTCATTGCGACTGAGTTCAAGTGATCAAAAATTGTATTCAAGATGAGTGAGGGAAAACGGCGAAAGATGAGTGAAGAAGACGGAAACCGAGTGCTACAAGTGAAAAGTCAGAAGTCAAAAACCGAGTTCTGTGCATTGAACGATGATTGTATTCTACATATTCTTGACTGGTTGTCGATTAAAGAACTCGCAACAATAAAAAATGACATGCAAACGCCTTTATTTGCTCGCAAATGATCATTTTCGTAACACATATAAATATAAATTTGTTTGTTTAGATGCAAAATTTAAAAAGCCGGATACCAAAGTTTAAAAAAATTATTCAAAATCTTTTGCATTTCATATGCCAAATATAGTAAGGTTTCATGCAGAAATTGAGACTTTTAAACTGATTGGAGAGAAAATGAGTCAAAATGTAAAATGTATGTTTTTCATCTGGCTGAATTTCAGAAACAAAATAAACACTAAAGATTGT